CAATTTCTTATTTATCATCATTATTACATTCACCTTTCTACCTCTTCATATTCAATATTCTTCTGTACTCCATTGTTGGCCACGACTGGGTCGATCTGAGGTGGCGGATTGTAGCTTCCAGACTAATAAATGAGCCCATTCAAGGCAAAATACCCTAGACTGCTTGACAAATTATAAAAGCATTTAACTCAATAAACCGATTGACATTACGGGCTATATTGCCTGAATGTCCATAGATATACGCTTAAAAAGAGTCCTGAAGATGAGTACAATTGGTGATGGCTAACCTGCTTTAAAGCCACACCACAACACGGTCAGAACAAACATGGAAGTGCAAGTGAAACGTTTCGAGGGACTAGCCTGCATGGAAATAGGTCCCCTGGAGACGACTCCACGGTTGGCCCTATTACTTTACTAGCACATTTAGATTTACCTGCATTTAATAGTATTATCAACCTCTCCATCTGTTTGAAAGATGCAACCGATCAATCAGCCCCGCAAAATAGTTTGGGAACTGCTCTGAAAAAGCCTCGAAAAAATATTATCTGTCCCATGCGATCCCGTCGTACATAATGACCAGACCAATTAGTTGGACTGTGCCTCGCACCGTCGAGGAATATACCCTTTATTTATTTAATGATTTCTGTCCTTGCAGCCTCTCAAAATGTTACTGGCCGTAGTTTCAACAGGTAATTGGGTCTTTCCGTTCGGGACCGTTCGATTCACATTTTGGACACAAATTGCTCCGTGACATAGTTGGGGTTCTTCTCTGGAATTCGCTTTATCAACCACTTTAGTGCGGTGTTTCAAGTTGAGCAGCCTATGGCATTCAACCACAATCTCCTGCGATGTCAGCGGCGCATTTCCTCTTCCAATTCTACTTCGATGTCCAGCGTTTGTGACAGTAACTCAAACAACTGGCGCTACGACTTTTCGAACTGCGTTTGCTGCTGCTGAAGAAGAAGAAGATACTGCGTCTGTTCGAATGAAATGGCCGCGATTCTTCAACGGCCCCGTCGTTACTTATGCTGTATCGCCCCTCCCTCACCCGACCGTTTCCACTCACTCGGACAGTGAGAACACGAGACGAGCCGGAACCGGAGTATGTCTGTCTGGATACGCCACACTGTATTATGAAAAACAAAGGAATAAAGGGATATAACGCAAATCAATGAAACTCGGATGTGTTCACATACTGCGCTGAATCTCAGATTGAGTTCCATTCAAATGTGGTAGACTTGCACATTTGGCTTGAACAGCGTTTGCTTCTATCAGACTAGGACACAGGTACTAATCAATCATGCTCCGCCTTTGCTTACACTGGCGCGTTGTAGACTTTCCTCCTTACTATCGACTGGAACAAAGGAACAATGGTTTATTACAAGCGAAAGGAACAAAATGTTCAGCTACTCCTGGAGCTGAATGAGGAGCACAACATGACTCACTGCACGTCTAATTATTACGTGTCCTGAGTTAGCATCAAGGGCATTAGTTGACAAAGGAACTGTAGTGTTGATGCGTCGCATTTCCGTTGCATTGGCTTTGTCGTTTTTCCCTATGATCGTGAGTCGTATACCGCATGTGGTTCCTCAACGACGACTGCACACTTGCTACGCTTCGTATATTTCTAAGGTGTGGGGAACTGTTCCTAAAATATTTGCAGATCACTTTGTACAGATATGATCTCATACTCTTTGGTGAGTGCTTATTGACGATGATTTTTAGCTTCTTAGGTAGCATTTGTCCATCGAAGTATTTCACGAGGTGATTTGTCAGGTACGACCATGGATAGAGCCACTTCCAAATCACAGAAGATGATTTTAGTGTAGAATGACTTAGGGTTTTCCTTTGCTCTGATTGTGATTGGTAGGCTGTTCCAAAACGCAAGGAGTCTGATGGGAAATTGGTTAGAGCGCATGGTTGTTCTTGCCCTTGGTACGATCAAAATGCATTTTTCCTTTCGGAGGCTTTACTATGTATCCTGTCTCAATTCTAAGTAAGGCAGGTAGGAGTACATTGTCTTATGTAACAATTTGTGAAGTACCATTAAGTTTTACTCTGGACATTGCAGCCAATTGGCTCGTGGTCATCGGTTGGAGGTACAGGTAGAGTGAAACCGACAAACAGGTACTCTGGCACAATGCACCAGCTGTATTTTTTTTTTTCCACGAATGTGGTCATAATCGGTTGACCAGAAAATCTGACAAACGACCACCAAAGCTGGTTGTGCAACTACCCAAAATGACTGGCTACTGTAACCGGGTGACGAGGTTTACGGCTACGTTTCAGTCCCCTCTGCCTGGCGATCCCATCCAACGGGGAAAACCATGAGTCAGGACTCTGGTGGCGGTGTATATGCTGCGCTAAACGATTGCTTATAGGTCAAGCACACGCTCCATTCAATTGCCTTTGATTTGGTCTTATTCTTTGTGAACGTGCGCTTCCTAGCGGATCCGTTATGAAACACCATGTTGGACGGGCTGTTCATGTCCAGACACCGGGTTTCCGCCGCACTGACGCGCGCTGAACTTCCCCAGCTGCTTACTTACCAGCTGTGTTACGTACTTGGTCAACTGCTCGCGCGCCCTGACGTATACCTGCTTCTGAGCCACGGGTTTCATCAGGTTCTCACGTGACTCATCACATGTCTGTCCAAGATGTCGAATCGACCCCATGTTGTAGCGCCTTGCGTAGGCATTCGCTTTACTTGGTCGCATAATCATTCGAATGGACTACGCCCACTTATTTTCCGGACTTGGTTTTGATAACATCTTTTTGCCTTTGGGTCGGTCTGTAACTATCTCGATTATTCCCGTATTCGGGTTAGTCTGCCTGGCGAATATTGTGTGGCCCGCGTAATCTGTATCGGTCCACGTGGGCGATGACCTCCATCTTCCAAACCAAACTATGTCCCACTGCAGTATTGCCTATCCTTGATGAATTTGCTTGCTTCCGTGGTGCAGTCGCAACCGATTGACGTGTCTGATCCACTTTTCATCCCCGGCCATCATCTTACAGATTACCTTGGTTACTCTACCGATAACCGTACCGTTAAACTAACTTCCCATAGGTTGGATATTCCATGCGTAAATCAGCTCGCTGGCCTTGAAATGTGGCAGCCTACTTGAGCGCTTTTCCCTTGTTTGCCCATTATCGCATTTTTCTTCGTTCCTGGGATTTCTTCGTCCAAGCAGACATTCCACGCGGGATTTCCTATCCGGCGTATTTGGATTCAGATTGTTCTCATACCTGTCCATCACGGACTGAACTGCACCACGCGACACTCATGTTCCTCCAGCTTTGTAAACAGTAGGTTTGAAGATATTTACAAACTATTCAGCCTGTTTGTTTGACTGTGGATGGTGTGGATTCCGTTCTGTTTGCGACGTTCACAGAACGGCGTAGAGGTGAATTGCGCCATATGTCCGGTGCACCAAAGTACTGGCACAATTTACGTAGCTTGTTACTAGTGTGTTGGACTGTGAGATTGTGCTTCGAAATCACATAGAGCCACATAAATATGCCATATAAATCGAAGGTGAAGATGAAAAACGGACCTTTTGTTTATCTGAACGCAATTCATTAGCCCTCTGGAATGTTAAATGAAATGGCTAGGTACCGAATGCCCAGCTGAACCAATACATCCGAATTCGCGTTAACTCCTCAAGTGTTTCGAGCCATCGATTTCTTGGGTCTCCGGCCGAAAGGACACACGAAACCAACGACCGCTAGGCGGAAAGTCAACGATTTCATGTTTCGTCACCAGTTAGTAGGAGGCTGTCTGATTTGTGACTCCTTAATGCTACCCTACGCTGGTGAACAGAACACGACTTGCGGACGTTGGTGTCGCATATCTAGGGCGTTATCAGTCCACCTCTGTTAGAGCAGTGGCACAAACTTCCCGAACACCAGACTTGTTTCTTAAATTCCGCTACTTCTGGTTTCATCTTAGTGTTGCCCCAAATGCTTCTCTGCAAGCAGTGATTATTGTTGTCGTCCCGAGACAGCAGCCAAGTTTCCCATCCACAAAACGCTACTGCACTTACTGTGGTTTTGTAAGCCATGTTGCTTGATGATATACGTCTTAGTTGCTTCTTTTTGTCAAGTTCTGGCGGTGCTTTAACAGTACGAACGAAGTGGAACTTTCAGATAGCAGGACCAGGAAAAACATAGCTGTCCAGAAAGACTGCACCATCCATCTATCCAATCTGTGTCTCGCCGTGCGTGTTGGCTGTCACCGAATCCATCGTGACCCTCATCCGCTTGCTTCCCGGTCTAACACTTTTGAGTTTACACTGTGGTTAACGTGAACTACCCATAGTCTCTTTATGGACGTAGGTGTTCGACCTGTCTACAGCCAGTGATGATTGGCCTCGACAGTTTCTCACCAAGCATGGCATTCCGTCAGCTTACGATCACTCTATCACATTTGATTAACAGCGATAGTAACTGGGGAACTGTGAGCGTTCTTTATCACAGCCGTTTTCTTATCTTTTCATTTCTTACTTGATTAGCGGTTTGCGAACCTGACGTGTTACCTCTGGTTCTTGCGCTCGCCTGAGGCTCTATGTGGTTGTTCGTTTCGCAAACACTACACCGTGATCGGTGACCTGCTTGCACTTTCTTCCTCGTTCTGCGCCTTATTCGCCTTCGGCCGAATTCTGCCTGGTTTCTTTTTCGTTCTAGTCTCTCTTGCTCCCATGCCATTGTTAATCTGAGTACTCCCGTGTGCTGCTGGTACTCCAAACGAGGCGAAATTTGCGTCAGTAGATGACTAGACCGGGAGAGTAAACACATAAACCACAGCATTGCAGTAACGGTGTGCAAACGTTTCGTTACTTATGTACTCCAACTAAGATGTACCCAATTTAGACCGATTATGTTTAGTGAAATAAGTACGTCACAACTGTATCAACTTCTGTGTCCTATGTAACCCGAACACCTTGGCCACCGCAAACTCACTGAGAGTCATCTGTTGTCCTGTCCATTCGACTACACAGAACAATATACGTTTGGGCCTAATCAATGTCGGCGCACCAGCCAGCGGTGTGAATGCAGCCATGCGAAGTTTTGCCCGTCTGGGAATCACCAAAGGCTATCAGATAATTGGAATTCACGAGGGATTTTTGGGTCTAACCAACAACTTTTTGACTGAGATTCAATGGACCGATGTCCGTGGTTGGGTCGCGATGGGCGGTTCCACACTGGGAACACGTCGGTGAGTCTCTATGTTTGTTTGAGTCATGCCACAGTATGTGTTATGTATCAGAGTGAGTGCTTTTTCAGCACATGTACTATCACTGTGGACAACGTAATGATGCTTGCTATCGTCTGATAATACAATAGAGAATATTGCCCCTCAGGCGAACAGCCGCATAGCATAGTGGTGCCTCTCGGTGGGCTGAAATGTAAGCTGTACTATCTAGTGCAACTAACACCAAGCTGTATCGTATGTAGAAAAGCAGAATTCTCAATGGATCACTTTGTTGCAGTTGGCAAAGTCGTCGTGTATCATCAAACTTCAGACACATTCTGCATCGGCCGTCCAGCGGCCTTACAAGGTTCGACTTATCTACTGCATACAGCTGGGCGGATAAGCAAAAACATGCTACTGCTGATGCCTCCATGCTTTCTTTTCCACCTGTTTCCCTCACTTCCCAGCCGGCCCGTAGTCTTAAGGATCACAAGCTTGCTTTGTAATCCGATGGCCCGGGTTTGATCCTGCCTAGGGACCGGACGATCTTCGCAGTAGCCTTAGCCCACGTGCGATTGGTGGTGGTTGCGCGGCAGCGAAGCCTCGGTACTGCCTACCGGCGTACTGCTGATGCCTGCCTCCCGACCCCCATTAATAACTTTCCTTTTATACTTCCCACCTTAATTGACAGCAGCCGCAATGCCACTGATGTCATACCAACTGCAGCTATCTTCCCGCACCACTCACAGTCCCTTATAAGGCCACGCTGTCCCGTTTCCCTGGCGGCGTTCAACGTTCGCACATAGGACAACTGACTGCACTCGCACGCACGTTGGATACCTTAGGTATTGACAAGTATCGTGTGTCCGAAACAAGGATCGATGATCCTCACGAAGTTGTTTGATTGGCTGCACCTGGTTTATCTTCTCGCCATTGGTTATACGCATCCAGAGACGATGATGCGGCAAGCACTGGTCAACTGGGGTGGGCATTGTTCTCAGCTGCACGGCTGTGGCATCGTTAGTTGATTAGATTCCTGTGAGCAGTCTTTTGTAGGCAGTCCGTCTGACGATTCAACGAAGTAGCATTAGACGCTGTTTGTTTGTGATTTCCGCTTATGTTCCCACTGATTGTACTTCTGATGCTGCCAACTACACCTTTTACCACGAACTGAACAGGCTGCTTCACAGTGTTATTAGTTCAGATATCGTTGTTGTTACAGGGGGATAAGAATGCTCAAGTAAATTGCCTGGGTTCTTCATAAGCTCAGCTAGGTGGTAAGTATGGTATTAACTCCGACTGGATGGACAACAACGAACATCTGTTGCACCGGCTGTTTCTTAGTAGCATTGCTTTCAGACACACTGGGCGCCGAAGCGCGACCTGGCATCCCCCTGTAGCTGACCAGCGACAGACCCAAATAGATCATGTTACCATAATTTGCAGGGGGCGTGCTTCCATCCTAGCTTATCGCTCGTTATGGAATACCTGCGCCGACTCTGATCATGTCTTGGTACGCTGTCGTCCTTTTCATGAACTTAACCGGGAGGTGTATCAAGCCTCTCCTTCCATTGGAAACTGAGAATATATATCTGCTCTTCGTCAGGTTAACCTGCCAGGATTCACTGTGCACAGAACTTTGCTTTCTCCCTAAAGGCTGAGATACGGTGGAATAGGATCTTGGCTGGCGTGCACGACACGGGAACCTCTGCTTACGATAATATACGTCGTTGCTGCACCAGTCCCTTGATATCCAAGTGGTCGATTAACCTTTTGGAATCCCGGTTGGCTCTGAGCACAGTGTAACTAAGCAGCCTGTTAGGCGCGAACTTAAGCGGAGCCTGCAAGCCGCCTTATCTTCGCATGATATTCAGATGATTTTGACGGTTTATTGTTAACAAGATGTATGCGCTTTGACCGTGAGTGCTAGGTTAAGACATTAAGGCTTCACGCTAGGTCCCCTTTCTCTCCCACTTATTATTCTTCATTCTTCAAGTCATTGTGGTTGTGCAGCAGCGAAACATCATTTCAAATGATTGAGGTACTGCTGTTGATAATGATGAATGTAACGGAAAGCTTGCAGTCGCAAACTGAAAAAGCATGGCACTAGTTACTGGTAGCATTCTAAGCCTAAGCGTGTGCCAATCTACCTTCTCGCCTTACCAAACTTTGCACTAATATGTACGGGCTGAAACAAACTTCGGGACACAGAGACATCAAGATACTTCTGTTAGGTAAGCTACATCTAATTTTTAACCCCATTAAGAGGAGGCGAGCTTTTGCAACAACTTGCAGCTTCTCAACCAGAATAAAGCAAATATCAGATTACACCGTTTAGAGGCGTTTAGGCAAGGTACTTGGATCAGGACCTTATCTGAAGCCCTTATTACGACGGTGTCGATGGCTTATCGCCAGTGATAGCTATCCACCCGAAGATAACATCCTCTACACATCTACATCCATCGAATTTGTGATGTGTGAGAATTCGTTCAATGTATACAGGTTCCAAAGGAAGGAAAGCTCCCGTTAAAACACTAATGTCATAATGGAGGCTAGTGGGTTCTGTACCATTTACTTAAGTTAGGCGAATGCCATTTATCATATCGTCACTTAACTACTTCACGCATTAAGACTGATATCGTTCGCAAACAGTATCTTGGGCAGCGTTCATCTAACGAGGCTTCCGAAGCTATTTGAATAGTCAGGGAATAAATGCCCGTATTGATCTACCTTTCTTATTCAATACAACTGCCATAAAATGATCACGAGAGTGTATCCCCTGTAAAGTTTCACCAATTATGGGTAACTTGACAAACCTCATCAGTCCAGCTGCTAGGGAGACTCCGGTAGATAAACCGACCTCCGAGGATTTCAACAGCGCTGATACATGCAACTAACCGGTACCTCTGGGGTTCTTTTCATGGAATCGTTTTATTCCCTTTGGTCTCCGACTCTGGGTGAATACTAGTTATCAAGCGACTCCTCAAGCATTCTTCCCCAAGTGATGTAGACTGTCGTTTACTGCTGATGTTTCCAAATGAACGCAACAACAAAACTGTCCAAAACACTGCACTTCACGACGCATTTCGAACTTGTTCGGTCTCATCAAGTAGATATAATAGGCGCTCGAACCCAGGGCTATTTGGATGTTAGCCGAAATCCCTACCCCTAAGCTATCGCGTCACCATGGGCAACTCTCGTCACAACGGTGAATGACTGACTGGAGTGGTCCTTTTGAAGCCCCCGTTGTGTGATTAAAAATAAAAATTAATGTGTCAGCTGTACGCTGTAACGGCGCTTCGCTGCCGCACGACCACCACCAGTCGCGCGCGGGCTGAGTATACCGCGAGGACGCCCACCCCTACGCGGTTTCCAACCGGTGACCAACCGGTGCCAACCAAACGCGCAGACCACTCGGCCACCCGCCGACCGTTGTGTGATTGGATTGGGACGTGCAATCAGTTGCCGAGGTATCGAAGTTTCGGCTGATATCTCAAAGGCTCTGGGTTCGAGTACTTGCTATGTCTACCTGATAAGATCGCAAAAGTCTGAAACCTCTCTGGTATTGCTGTGTTTTCGAGCGGACGACATCCAGTTTCCGTGTAGCTTCATTTGCGGTTCCAATTATCAGATTGACTGATGTTCACTGCAGTGCGAAGCGCGGTCCGACTTGAGATAGCGTGTCGCAATCTATTCACACGACGAGTGCTTTATAATTACACGTCAAATCAAAGCCACTTTAAGAGACAGCCCGTTAAGTTCTTCAGCGATTCCTGGACCAATTGCGATAGTACGCCAATTCAGAAGTTCCCATTCAATAGATGCAAATCCGCTCATTCGAATCGTATCACGTCTTTCCATTATCTTTTCACGCCGGCAGCATCCTCTGTCCCGTGGAGTAGGCTTTACAGGTACGTTAGAGTATTCAGTAAGGAAGCTTTTAATCTCTCTAGAATGCAACGGAGGCACCTACTGATTTCAACTTCATTTCTAGGTGTCATTAGGTGCGTCCTTCTTTATCGCCTCACTGTTTCTTTAGATCGATGTGCTAATCGTTATTTTCTTCGATGATACTTCCAATATTTAGATTACAGTGGTCAGATTTCAATTCACTGCTCATCCGTTGTACAGCTAGATGATTGGAGCGTCACTCCTTCTTGACCGACATTTCCCATATTTATACCGGCAACGCTTCTCCGCTTGCTCCATTTGGTTTCACCGGCATAGTGCCGTATTCATCAGCCTCATGTCCACCTTCGAAAGCGCACTTCTACCCAGATAGGTTCACTTAAAGACTTCTATACCCCTTACTATTCGGTTCGCGTGTGTCATTTATACAGACGACCAGAACGGTTTTCATGGCCCTTCTTTGCAGTAAACAGCTCTCTGCGGGCTATTCGATTTTCGACTAACTTTCTATTTATTGTGCATTCCACATGCCCCAGCGTTGTTCGACTTCGTTCGCACCCTCCAGAACTTAGTCCTCGTGCTCGTGATATCGTTTCACCATAACCCATATATCTAACTTGCTTTCTTTGATTTCAGTGATAAGCCAAGTGACTTGGGGATGGATTTGGTGGCCTCAAAAATAAAGGAGCACAGACTGAGCGGCCTGCTGGTCATCGGGGGTTTCGAAGCGTACGAGTGCATGCTCGAATTGGCCGAAGCACGTCCTAACTACCGGGAGCTGTGCATTCCCATGGTCATGATCCCAGCCACTATATCGAACAATGTACCTGGGACCGATTTTTCTCTCGGCAGTGACACAGCTCTGAACGAAATTACCACGGTAAGTGGTATATGCCCCCCCCCTAGTTTGTGCTTTGCGAGATGAAGCCAATCGGTCCATGTCTAACCTACTTTCTACCATTATCCCTTTCCACACTACGAACAGGTTTTAGACAAGATCAAACTGAGCGCGATGGGAACCAAACGGCGCGTTTTCGTTGTCGAGACAATGGGTGGTTACTGCGGCTACCTGGCCACCATGAGTGGTTTGGCCGGAGGAGCCGATGCAGCATACATTTACGAAGAACCGTTCACCATTGATGACTTGCGTCAGGATGTGGTCCACTTGCGTGCAAAAATAGCCGACAATGTTCAGCGCGGATTGGTGCTTCGAACAGAGTATGCGAACAAGAACTACACCAGTGAATTCATTCACCAGCTGTACGCCGAAGAAGGGAAGGGGATCTTCGATTGTCGGTATGTCAAGTGTACATTCTTACTGGAACCGTCGAGCTCTGGTAGCCTTTAGATACGCAGCAATCATTTGGCTCTCATTGGCCTTAAAAGTTGTGTGTGCAGCAGGACAGCAAGGGACGTTGTCCTCTATGATGATGAGAATTGGTTCGTTCGGTCTTAATGTCTCAAGCACTCCTGGGTACTTGTCTCCCGTTGCTTGCGATGCACTGGTTTCGTGCAGTGGTGCAAACGTGCCTGCAACGATAACTTGCGCAGGCGAACACTAGGTGCCGGTGGGGACTAGGTCATCTCGTTAGATCAGCCACCGGGGCTAACCCTCATTACGTGCACTAGTTCGTATGTAACTGCGGAGCTAGTTACCTAGGCATGACAGACAAGACCCTGAGTTCCCGAATGAAGAGCACTTGCCAACATTGGCCTAATACGCCACTACAGGACAAACTACGCCTTCACTCAAGCTGACGACGTCTTCGATCGATAGACAACTGCCTACTTCAGGTCACCGGATTGAGTCAACATGGCGTTCAACATTCCGCTGCACCATACAAATCGCGAGCACTTGCGGCTCGCCGAGGCCGTCGCGATAAGCCGGATTAAACCAATGCTTTGATTTATAAAAGTAACAAATATCAGTCAGCCTTTGTTATTATTGTTATACTGTTGTTGTCCGTATGTTTGTTTGCACCCTCCAACAATTGTATATACTTTCCAGTAATCGTTATCGTCAATGACGCGATGACACGACATACATGCATCTGCTGGAATTCCTCTCCTCATTGCACTGAGGGGAACCAGTTGTTTTAGGATTGTACTAGTCACCGTGGCTTAAGCAGACGCTGCGTTCGCCGCCCACCTGACTTGGGAAAGCCTACTACTCATTGAGGTCAGTCTTTCCATCTGGTAGTGATAAATAAAATCACTGACCCGGGGCGCTATTGGTCCGTCTCCCCCTTCCAGACCACAGTCCACGTGACCCACCTTGCGGTTTTTTTTCTGGTCATTACAGCATATGGTATGCAGACAGCATCAATGATACGTTTACTGTTGTGTCCAAGCCGGACTACCTGTTTGATTTTTATTTGGTGCTGAGTTATTTGAGGAGTAAGACTAACTACGACACGGGACTGGGAAAACGACAAACAACTTGTCTCGTCACTACCGCTTCATCTTCTTACGATAATCAACTGACTATTCTTAATCCCCATTTGAGCCATTTCTCATCAGAAGCGTTTATGTGTCGGCACAGTACTTGCATGTTTACTGATGCATTGATATATCTTTGGTGCTTATATTGTTCCAATGATCTCATTGTTTCATCCGATGTATTGATCGAGCACTCGGTCACCGGTCAGTCACCACTGATGACCTAAACGCTTCACGTGTCCTACTGCGTGGGTGAGTGGTGGGGATGTTCTAACAGGCTTTCCGCTAAGGACTTAGAGTGTGGCACATCAGCCCACATTTGTTCGCACTACCTTCTTCAAACCCAGTTGTTTCACGATACCCGACAGGCATACTAATTATTTTGCATGATTTTATCCCACACAGGCTGCACCTAGTTTATGCAACACACTTTGAGCAGGTGATTGTGGTGTTGAGCCACTTTTTAAAGAAATAACCGAATGGATTTCGATCTGATTAAATTAGCTTGCAATACCACACGTTGTTGCTAATACAATGTTGTCAAAGTTGATGTCACAAGTGATGCGTCAGCAACCGGTACCCATTCATTTCGTCTTTTCACACCCTCCTCAAGAGAGTGGGATTTCAAAGCTGAATTTAGGGAGCACGCTGTGTGGTTGGGTTGCGACTCGCAACCTCTATTGAGACCTAGGCTCACTTTGAGGTAAACCTCGGTCATTCCGATCTCGAGGACCGTATCCTGAATGGATATATTTGGATGTTGCCAGGGTTGGGAAGAGCAACACCCAAATATATCCAGAGTGGGATTTCAGTTTGGAGTCCGAGGACCGACCGGCGGGTGGCGTATTCTTTGCGATCTACCGGTTGGTTGTTCAGACCCGTGTATGTTTTGCTTGCGTGCCCCATGCTGAGGCTGATGTTGCATTCTTGATGCTTCTTCACCACAGTCGGGCTAAACCAAATTACACTTAAACCAGGTCTTTTTAAGCCGGATAAATTTCATTCCACTTTATTTGGTTTGTTCTGCCTACCTGAATAATCTTTTGTTAACTTACAGTCATTTCTTATGCTATTTGCGCTTACCTTCGAAAACTTTTTGCGTTTGTAGCATTATTTAATTAAGTTGTGGGCATTTTGTACTAATCGCGGGTTCGTTGCCAACCAACTTACTTCATATGCTAATTTAGCGAGGTTATGTCGGCATGGCCATATGCTTTAAGAGATTTATCTTATTTGATAATGTTATTTCAAGTGATTGGCTGTTGCTTGATATTCCCGGTGTGGCTTCGATTGATGTGCATGTTGACAAGGTGCCTACTTGTCTATTACTCACTACCTCGTCCATGCTGGCTCCAGGAGACAGTTGTTCGTTGCTGTAGGGGACGGGGTGCACGGTGCTTGTGACCGTGCTAGGCTCGAAGAGTCATGCAGTCAGTGTGGAGTAGACTACGGTCCAGCCACCGCCTTGTGTGCGCTTGATTCCCCCAAATACAGCGTGCTTGTGTTTGCCTGTAAAAGAGTGTGGGCCGGCTCCGTTGATGTAACGTGGCTCCCATGCACATGCCTCCCGGTCTTATTCCTTCGGGTTTACACTGGATATGGGGTGTGTGGATGGAGCTGTGGGTGGTGCAGCGCAAGCCATGCATGTTCCCTCTGTAGGCGCAGGCGTCGTGTGACTGGCCACAGTGACAGGCAAATCCGAAACCGGATGCTGTCAACCATGTTTTTGTTGCCTATCTGTGTCACTTGTCTTCGCGCACCTTTCGGTTGTTGCACACTAGCAAATCATTGGCAGAGTGTACTGCTGGTACCTTTCTTTACTGGTTCAAGGAATCTCACACGTGCCGAATTCTTGTAGGACGACTCGGTATACAATCGTCCCTCGAACGGTTATAAAGCTCCCTGCATGCGACTTGTTGGTGCTGCTTTCTGCTTATGGACTTTAGAAAACGCCTATTTATCATCCTCGTCACGTGTTATCCTCTTAACTATGCAGTTTGATTTCTCTCTAATCTGTTTTTACGAACCACAAGTCTTGCTGGCACAACTTGAATGCCAACTCCTCAATTCGTCGATTGACGGTCGCGGTAGTCTACCTGACCATGTTGCTAGCCGTGATATGTTTTTCATTCTCGGCTGCAATTCACACAACTGCGGCGAAGAGGCAACTTGGTCAGCCCCTAAACGGAACGGTTATCCAACGGTTGGTCGACCATATAATGGTGGCTACATATTTGACCCCCACTTTTATTCCTCTATGTGCTTAGGTCCAATTCCGTTTAACCAGGCAACCACACTCCTAGCGCCGAAGTGCGAGAGGCTCAGTCAATGTGACTAACTCCGTTTCGCGGTCAGGCTATTGGACCGAACGGCTTCGTTAGAGGACCCTAATAGCTTTCCTGCTTACGTCTGAGCGCCGTACGACCATGAATTTCTCATCGGACTACAGCGACACTCCGTGTCGGACGTCTCTTAATTTCATAGGGACCCCTTTATCTTCCACATGGCCAATATGCAAAAGTATGCTACTACGGAGACTCACTTCTTTACGTTACCACGCTCTCCTTCTCCAGCATTGCTATCCTTCCTTCTGCACTCTCCAGCGTACATGACAGCACCTGCGGTACCAATGGAGTTCTACCATCTGCCTCAATTTTCCCATGGTGCTCATTGGAGTTCTGTTTTCAGCCTCTTATCAGGTCACATTACCATGCTTCATTGATGACATTCAACGCTCATACTTTAAGCTCGGTCAACCGCCTTCGTTACACGTACATTGGGCAATCTTAGTGTTAATGTGAGCTGTGCTCCCAAGGTCGTCTTAATAACCCTTCTGCGGTTGACGAACTGACTGCGCTTGGCTTGTGTACACTATTCCGGCGATACTATAGTGCACTAACCACAGGTCTCGCCTGCTGCGCGCCTTCTCAACTCTGGGGTGAGTGATCGCTAATCAATCGGCCTCCCGCGAACAGCCTTCTATTTGTAGCCTGTTTGACAACATCAACTAAGGTCTGCGCGCGGATTATCGCTAGTCGACGTTTGTTTGTGACAGCTGACTATACTCCAACTGACCTCAGCCCTGTTGCGGTCCGAAAACTCTTTTTACCGCAAACTCAATGCGCCACGTTGCTGTGTCACCATTACATATATATTACTGGTTGCACAACATATGAATGCGCAATTAGGTCGTCTGAGCTCATCAGAATCGCAGCTAGGTGGAAAGTTCGGGTTCAACTCCGAACCCACAGATAATGGCGAGCGTTTATGGCGACTGTACACTGATCTCGGCTGCTTTTTGTCCTCATGGCCTTCAGGCATAATGGGCGGCGATCTGCTGCCATTCGGCGGTCTCAGGATCTGAACGGCGATAGATGCAAACTGATCACACTGCCATAAATTTTCCATGGTCTGCTCTTTGTGAGACAAGTGCATCGGTCCTGATCATTATACCCTGATGCGCTACCAAATTTTTATGCACTTTGTCGGGGAACGTAGCAAGCAATTCCCTGGACTGACATCTGAGAAACTGTCTCGGCTGTAGATGATGTAAGCCTACTTATATATCTTGCGTGGTATGTTTTCATCCAAGCGTACAGAGAACATAGTGGTTCAGTGAAATAATACTTCCGCTGCTATGCACATCGCGAAAACTTCTACTTGCTGCGATATCAGCCGTCATTGCATCAGACACTGGCTGGACATCAGAAGTGTCGCCAAACCTATTGGATTTCAGGAGAAATACCCTGCTGTCCCTGTTCACCTTGTGACCAGACTGACCATTATATTTGTGATGATAGGGCTTCTGGAAGCTAACAAAGAGACCTTCTGGATTGGACGGAGTCAAAAAGTGATGG